GTATGTGGTGCTGAGGATTGAACCTGGGCCGCACGCATGCCAGGAGAGCGTGCTATTGCTTGAGCCACATCCCCAGCCCCGACACAACATCTTTATTGGTATGTGGTGCTGAGGATCGAACCCGGGCCGCACGCATGCCAGGCGAGCGCGCTACCGCTTGAGCCACATCCCCAGCCCCACGTTATTTTCTTTCTTAGAAACTTGGTTGCATGACAAAACATTCAGTAACTGCATCTATCAAATTAATTTCATAGATAAGAATTAGGACTCTCATGGGTCCAAAGAGCAGTACTTCCACTGGACCTCAGAAAAATTAGAATCTGTATCTGAAACCCACTGGGACCCCAAGCAGTCACATTTTGTCCCTCTGAGACCACACAGCTTCTGACATTTGTCTCCGTCCCTGTCCTCTCATCTTCCCTCTGGAGACTGGCTTTCCTGCATCTCTGTACTTGTCGAAGAACCGCCCCAGCTCCAAAGCTGACTCCTCTCTCCTCCGACCAACGCCAAGATAACCCGCGTGGACTAGCCATACTCCAGGAGAGAGTCAACAGGCTCATTGGGTCAGCTTTCTTCCCCTGGTCCGTTCAGCTGTGGTCAATGGGGCACAATCGTGTAATATGACCGTGGCTGCAGGGAACCCCCTGTAGTGAGTGAGAGGGCAGCTCCTTCCCTGAGTATATTCTCTCAGAGTCACTCAGAAATTATCCTCTCCAGAAAATTAGATTTTTATATCCAAATTTGGAATCTCATTTATATCACTTTTTATGGTACTAATTACTGTATTAAATTACATAGTCCATTTGTTCATGTTTACTCTCTGTCTCAAAAAAACAAAAGATTGGCCAGGTAGAATAACACACCTATAATGCAAGCCACTTGGGAGGCTGAGGACTGGGAACGCAGCTCAGTGGTAAAGTGTCCTTGGGTTCCGTCCCCAGTATCTGCACTGGATATGTGTATATATGAAAGATGAAGGCAGATGGGAGGTCTCTGTTGCTCCTCGCTATAACCATAGCGCCTGGCACACTGCCTGATATTTAGGATGGATTCAAGTAAAAATCATGAAAAAAATGAGGGCTTTGTCCATCAGATTCCATTTCTTCAGAAGTGCTAGTCATTAGCTGGTGCCTTTCTGCCACATTCTAATAGTCCCCCAGTATCACTTTCATTTACCCCAGGAAATCTTACCTCTTTGCAAGACTTGCTATTTAGCTCTCTGATCCATTGCCTATAATTTGCTTTTAGTCCATGACCTGGAAGATACTACCTTTATGAGAGACTTGTTTTGTTTTTGATAATAGGGACTGAATGCAGTGTGCTTCACCACTGAGCTAAGTCCCCAAAACTTTTTTTTTTTTTAATTTATTTATTTTAGTTTTCGGCAGACACAACATCTTTGTATGTGGTGCTGAGGATCGAACCCAGGCCTCACGCATGCCAGGCGAGCGCGCTACCACTTGAGCCACATCCCCAGCCCGTCCCCAAACCTTTTTACTTTGAGACAGGTTCTCATTAAGTTGCTGAAGGTCTCACTAAGTTGCCCAGGCTAGCCTTGAACTTGTGATCCTCCTGCCTCAGCCTCCCAGATTGCTGGGTTATAAAGTTGTCTATTCAAACTGGGTGCAGTGACACTGTAATCCCAGTGACTCTGGAGGCTAAGGAGGATCGCAAGTTTGAGGCCAGCTTTAGCTGTTTTCTTTTTGTTTGTTTGTGTTTGGGTGGTGCTGGGGATTGAACCCAGGGCCTTGTGCATGTGAGCAAGGACTCTACCAACTGAGCTATATTATATCCCCAGCCACCCAGCTTTAGCAATTTTGTAAGACACTCAGCAATTTAGTGAGACCCTGTCTCAAAAAAGACGGGGGAGGTAGCTCAGTGGTAAAGTGCCTCTGGATTCAATTTCTATTTATCAGTTAATAGTTTTGCTTATGACAAAATTGTTTACCTTCCCAGGGATCAGGAAAATTAATACTGAGAAAAGAAAAACCTTTTTTGAAAAAA